CCCCAGCAGCCCCCAGGTGTCCCCAGGAGCCCCCAGGTGTGCCCAGGTGACCGCAGGTGCCGTTGCAGAGTACGTGGAGCACCTGAAGGACGAGGGCCGGGTGTGCGCCATCATCGCGCGGCTGCAGCGTTACCTGCAGGGCAAGGGCAGCCCCGAGGAGCTGTGCCGCGTTTACCTGCGCCGCGTCCTCCACACCTACTACAAGTTCGACTACGGCGCCGCCCGCAGGAAGGGCGGGGCCGGCCAGGTGAAGGAGGAGGGGCAGGAGAAGGAGGAGGAGGAAGAGGAGGAGGATTCAGAGGCACTGATGGAGAGGTTGTGCAGGTGAGGGGGGCGGGGCCACACCTGGAGGGGGGTGGAGCACACCTGGCGGGGGGTGGGGCACACCTGGATGGGGTTAGAACACACCTGGGCACACCTGAAGGGGGGTGGAGCACACCTGGGCACACCTGGAGGGGGGTGGGGCACACCTGGGCACACCTGGAGGGGGGTGGGGCACACCTGGAGGGGGCCAGGACACACCTGGGTGGGGTTAGAACACACCTGGGCACACCTGGGTGGGGTTAGAACACACCTGAGCATACCTGGAGGGGGGTGGGGCACACCTGGATGGGGTTAGAACACACCTGGGCACACTTGGAGGGGTGTGGGGCACACCTGGATGGGGTTAGAACACACCTGGGCACACCTGGAGGGGGCCAGGACACACCTGGGTGGGGTTAGAACGGGCCAGGACACACCTGGGTGGGGTTAGAACACACCTGGGCACACCTGGAGGGGGGTGGGGCACACCTGGGTGGGGTTAGAACACACCTGGGCACACCTGGAGGGGGGTGGGGCACACCTGGGTGGGGTTAGAACACACCTGAGCACACCTGGAGGGCTGTGGGGCACAGCCGGGTGGGGCCAGGACACACCTGGGCACACCTGAGGTGGGGAAATGGAGGCAGGGACACACCTGGGCGCAGCCGTCTCACCTGTCCCCGAAAGCCTGGGACTTCCGGTGTTCCTCACCTGGCCAGGTGTGTCTCACCTGTCGCACCCGTGGGTCTCACCTGGGCAGGTTCGTGTACGCCAAGGACCGCACGGACCGGATCCGCACCTGCGCCATCCTGTGCCACATTTACCACCACGCCCTGCACAGCCGCTGGTACCGCGCCCGCGACCTGATGCTGATGTCACACCTGCAGGACAACATCCAGCACGCCGACCCACCTGTGCAGGTACACACACCTGTGCAGGTAAACACACACCTGTGCAGGTAAATACACACCTGGGGGGTTAAACACACACCTGGGCAGGTAAACCCACCTGTGCAGGTACACACACCTGTGCAGGTAAACACACACCTGTGCAGGTAAATACACACCTGGGGGGTTAAACACACACCTGGGCAGGTAAACCCACCTGTGCAGGTACACACACCTGTGCAGGTAAACACACACCTGTGCAGGTAAATACACACCTGGGGGGTTAAACACACACCTGGGGGGTAAAACACACACCTGGGCAGGTAAACACACCTGTGCAGGTACACACACCTGTGCAGGTAAACACACACCTGTGCAGGTAGATACACACCTGGGGGGTTAAACACACACCTGTGCAGGGAAACACACACCTGGG